AGCCCTGGCCGTCCTTTTCCACACTACCACAAAGCACCAGGCTGGCCGTGATCACTGTTAGACTTTTGCTTGTGGTAGTTAAGGCGTGCGTTGAATGAGGGAAGCATGGGGTTGAAGCTTGACAGCTGATAATGTTAAAAGCCCCAGCTGCCACCTGGGGATCTTGCTTGCTCATGAAGCTGCTCCTGAACCATGTGTACTTTACGCCTAGGAGAGCAAACGGAAGTTATTTACGCTGGCTTATGAACTGCAGAAATGCTTGCAGCAACCAGGATAAGGGGGTTTGGAAGAGAAGCAAGGGATCAGGATCTGTCCCATCCAGTGGCCCTGTGAGCACTGTGGCAGGGGAGGAGATTTCCGTTGACCCTCGTACAGGGATGGGCAAAAGCTGTCCCTTCTCATGACACCAACACAGGTGAAAGAGTAAAAAATATTATGGCCTGGGGACAAAAGAGATGTCAACTTCCTAATTCTCGTAGAATTACAGTGGGGAAAAAAATGAGCTTCAATCTCTTAGCTTTTAAGCACTACCTGAAGGACCGTTCAGAGGTTTTACTTTTTTAAAAAAAGTTGTTCCCAAACATATAGCCGGCTTGTCTGCACCACAGCTCCTCAGTAACGACCCCAGACACTGAGAGTAGTGTGGGACTTGTGCAGAAGATCGGGAACTGCAGCAGGCGGGGGCCGTCGTTCCCTGTGTCTTCAGCGATGGCCTGAACACGTCAGCTGGAGCGCAGTCAGGTAGCCTGGGGTTAGCCACGCTCCTTTTCTCAGGCGGGAGACAGGTAGTGCAGTGTTGGTACAGGGATTAAATGTAGCACTTAAAAAACAAGCTCTTGACGCTTAAACTGCTGGGTCACTCAGGTATCAATAAAAATAGTAAGTTAAGGGAAAGGTCTTTTTGAGAGCACCGTAAATAGTATGTTGGGGTCTGTCAAGTATGTGGCCTTTTTTTTTTTTTAAGGAATAACACGTACAACCAGTTGCTTTTCTATGATCTTCATGTAGGAATAAATGTAGCACGATTTTGTCGGTTAGCTTGAACACTACTGTGTCCATTAGTGCCTTGTTCTGTGCTTTTAACACAGAAAAGCTTGTCTTAGCAGTCATTTTACTAGTATGTGAATGAAATAAATTGCATTGAAATGGGGGGGTGTCCCGCAGTGCCCACTTTGAGATTGTCACTTGCTGTCCATCACTTCTTTCAGCAGCAAGATGTCAAGTCAGCTGCTGCATTCTTCCTTTTGGGAAAAACGGTATTAATGACAGCTAAGACATAGCTCTCTCTTTCATACCATGCAAAAAAATATAGAAGTTGCAGAAGGAATTGGAAAATAGCCAACTTGCAGAGACAAAAAGCTTCAAAATTAATATTGTACTGGAACAGACTCAGGGCTTTAGAATCGGCTGTTAACTATGGAAGGTAATTAAGCTTTTCTAAGTGAAGAAGCTTCTGAGTCACACAGTATACATTATACAGACGTACGCAGCGGAGCAAAAACGGTGTTTTCATTTGTAACGCCTGTATGAGACTTTGTACAACCAGACCGCAGCTTTATGAAAAGCAGAGTTGTGAGCAACATACGTGCTGATATACTAGACCATTTGAGAGCTTAAGACTAACGTTGTGAAGGTGCACAGGGCTTAATTAAACATCTTTGCTGCCACTCCCTCTCCCAAAAGGCGCTAAGAGAAAATTGCCTTCATGACTATTAATAAATACTGCAATAGCCGATTATGGAGAATGTGCTTCAGTATATACTGAATTTTAATCTACAGTATTAGCCCAATACCTGTTCATCTGGCTGTGAGCTGTGGGTTTACAGTGATCAGTTAAACCAGACATGAAGAACATGAAATCGAGTCATGTCCTATGCTGACTGCGTTCCTGTTGTTAGCGTTGTCAGATACAGGAGCAGGTACTAACATTCAGGCAGTCAAAGCCCTTTGCTCCTGCACTGTATCCTGTGGGAAGCCTCAATGTTTAAGCAAAGACTGAACTAAAGAATTTCTAAGGATTCAGATTAAGAAAAAAGGCAGATCCTAAATTCAAGTTCAGAGCTGTTTATTTAAAGGACCTCTACACAAGTACAGACAGAGGCCACAACACCATTCAGCTTCATCGGAGAAGGAATGTGGAGTTTCTTAAACAATGGTTCCCAAATGACATTCTGGTCCAAGAAGGGAAGAGCCAAAGTTCTGGCTGTGGTCAGGGTCTTAGTTTTCATCTTCATAACCGGTCGGGAGAGCATTAACATGGGGGTTGTGGAACAGAGTTTTGTTCCCGTCGCCCCAGGGGAAAGGCTGTTGAAAGAAAGAAAATAAACCAGTGGCAGCTAACTGAATGATCGATACGGCACAGGAAATCGACAGCAATATGGACTCAAACATCACACAGCCTGACGGGCTGATGAATTCAGCAAGTTGGCATCTGTTCCCAGGCTGTAGGAAGCAAGAGTTGGAAAACGGTCTCCCTTAGCTGGGAGCCACTGTCTCCAGACAACAAGATCTTTGCTCTTGCTTAAACATCAGCTGTGCTATACTGTGAGGACCCCAGTTTTGAGAATTTGGGATCTCCTCTATTAGCTTTTAGATCTGTATTAGTTTAAGATAAGTACAGCAGCTCTAGCACTGAAACGTTTTTCAGCAAGACTTTAACAGGACTACCTGGGGGTGGGAATGCCTGTGAATACCACGGGTAGGTACTTCACCTGAGCTGTGAGAAACTCTTTTTGCTGCCTCAGAAACAAAGCCATGAGTTGAGATCACGGCTACGAACGCAGCACCTCACACAGCAGACAAGAAAGCAAGAGACGTTGCGGTAATCTCAGATGAAGCCCTGCAATCAAAAGGGCCTCTAAACAGAGCAGGCAAACGTACCTTGGTCCTGATCCGGAGGTGAGCGTAAGGAACAAACTCGGGTCTCTCGTGCTCGTGCTGTGCTTTCAAGTAGCAGTTCAGCATGCACACGCCGACCCCGGGCAGAGCCACGACGAAGGTCAAGAGCTTCCACAGGCGCGCTAGCAGGAAGAATTAGAACGATAGCCACCATTTCCATTGGTGTCAGTCACCTGAGCGCATGTTACGTGCAGTTAGCCTGTTAACGAGGAATCGCACTCCACGTCCTCGCCAGAGCGTGGGTGTCCGTCCGTTCCCCCCCCCCGTTTCTAACGGGGA